TTTTATAGAGAGAGAGAGAGAGAGAGAGAGACCAGCTATTTTTCATCTAGGAGCTCTGGTAGGCATAGTGCCTAAGGCACTTGACTGTTAAACAGAAGGCTGGCAGTTCAAACCCACCAGCCACTCCTCGGAAGGAAGGTTGGGTAATCTACTTCCATAGTGATACTGCCTTGGAAACCCAAGGAGGGGTTGCTATGAGTCGGGGCCGACTGGACAGAACATAATAACAAAAACAACAATTTTTCATCTAGGAGCTCTGGTCCGACTCGACAGCACATAACAACAACAACAACATTTTTCATCTAATAATATACTGGGAACATCTTTTCTTACCTCCAACAGTCTTCTCTTGATAGCTGCCTCAATTTTGTTGAATGTGCAGACTTCCAATCTGGCACTAACATAATACGTTTTTAAAATAAATCTGAGATGTTGTGCCATGACTGGTATTTCTAGTTGGTGGGATCTTCTCATCCTTCAGAACATACCTGATCTCTCCTGATGTGAATGAGGATCTGGATATGCTGGAGCTCAAAAAACCTCAAACACAGCAAAAACAGAAAAACAAAAACAAAAAAAAACCAACCTGTTGCTGTTGCATCAATTCTGAGTCATAGCAACCCTGTATGTTATAGAGTAAAACTGCTCAGAACTGCCTTAATTCCAAGTGCAACTTGCCAGCACTGTCAGCTTTCCATGTCAGCCCTATGTGGGAATCTCCAGCTTTTCTTTTCTCCCTTCAACCTAGAAAACCCATGTTTCCTTGTTTTAGACTCTGGCATGAACTCACTTGATTCCCAATAAGACAGAGATCAGAAAACCCATTTATGGGTTTCTGGTGCCATGTTTATTTGATTCCTTTATTGATGTAAGATTCCTGTTGCTCATCTTTGGTTGGCAGAAGCCACTGATTAGTCCCTCCATCCTGCTGTTAGCCACTCACAAACCTATAGTCCATTTCTTGAAAACCTTCTGCCTCTCTACCCCTCACCCCCTAGGTATATTACACTTGCAGACTCAAGTGATAAACTCAGAAGCTGAGCTCCAGGAGACAAAAGAATGATAGGGGTTCATAGACTTGTGTGGGGTAGACCTCTTAAAAGGGTAATGGCTATAATGGGACTTTTTTCTTCTACGGTCTCACAGAAGGAAACCCCAGGTTCTGAAACCTGTTGTTTTAAATAGTGTACATTCTAGTGGAACTCTGATGCATTCCTGGGCACTGTTGACTGACTAGTCTCGGATCCAGCCATTTTCCTATTAAGGGGAAAGCCTTCAGTTTTTTACTCTAGTCTAGATGAGAACGGATATGGTGTGCTGTGCTGTTTAGGACTGTAAATCCAAACCAAACCTACTACTGTCAAGTCTGTTCTGACTCATAGTGACCCTATAGCACAGAGTAGAACTACCTCAAAGATTTCCAAAGCTGTAAATCTTTGTGGAAGCAGATTGCTTCATCTTTCTTCCATGGAGCAGCTGGTGGGCTTGAACCCCTGACCTTTTTGTTAGCAGCTGAATGCCTTAACTACTGTGCCACCAGAGATCTTTCTTTTCTATTTAGGGCCATTAAAAAAAAAAAAAAAAACTAAAACCAAACTCAATGCCGTCAAGTTAGTCCTGACTCATAACGAGCCCTCCTTGGGTTTCTGAGGCAGTATCTCTGGGGAAGTAGATTGCCCAATCTTTCTTTCAAGACTGGCTGGTGGGTTTGAACCACCAGCCTTCTGGGAAGCAGTCAGATGCCTTAAGCACTATGTCAACAGGCAGTCTGGTACTGGAATGGTATCAGGACTTGAAATAATGTGTATATTCCACATTTGTATAACTCAATGTATCAGTGCTCTCTGTGGTATTTTCCAAAGTGCTTCTTAATTAGTTTCCTTCTGACACACTCCCTGTGAGAAAGGTTAAGTATCATCACCCTCCTTCTACTAAGGAAGACACTGAAACAATGAGAGGTTAATTGACTTGCCTTGGACTGTAGAGTGAGGCTGGCCCAGCCGGAATAGCTGCTGCCTGTCACTCCTGTTGTGTACTCCAAAGGCCCTGCAGAAGCCTGGGGAAGGCTTCACTAAGGAGGCAGGGAAAGTTCCCAGCCAAGGAAGCAACACTGTCAACTTGGTGACAGCCTCTCAGCCATATTCTTCCAAATCCTTTTGGGGACTACCATGGCAGAGAAAGAGCTGGCCTCTTCAAAGTCTAAGATCCTTGACCTAGAAACTGCTTTCCTGCCGTGAGCTAAACTGTAAGAGTGATGGAGGGCAAAAATAAATTATTTTTGGCTTAATTGCTCAGCCTTGGCAGAGGACCTTTTAAATTTGAAATATTAACCTGACATATAAAAAGGTTTAGGAATCTGATGTCATTTCCACCCCCACCACCTCCACCCCAATTCATATGCTGGTGTCTTTTGCAGAGGGGTAGTTACTGATTATGCCTCACGCATGCAGTGCCTTCCTATTAAGGGTTCTCTATAATTCTGGTCTGTGAACCATGGAATAAGGACTATGTAGACAGCTTCTAATACTGAGGGTCCCTGTGTCTTTTCCTTCTGCCCTCAATTTACCTAGTATGAACTTGGCTCGTTGCTCCCTGCAAAGCTGCAAATCCTCAGCACAAAGCCAGGATGGTGCTGTCGCTGGTGACATGGTCTTAAATAACAGGTAACAGCACCGGTACCAATGCTTCTGTTATTCTTGTGTCTTGAACATACTCTTTCTCTGGCTCGTTAAAGACCCCCTCATAAATTCCTCACAAGATTCCTGTGAGGAGGGCAAGCTATAGTAAGTAAAGAAAGCACTGAATTCTATGGCAGCATAATTGATTTTATCCCTTTTCTACTTCTGACAAGGAGCCCTGGTGGCACAGTAATTAAGTGCTTGGCTGCTAACTGAAAGGTCAACTGTTCAAACCCACCAACCACTCTGTGGGAGAAAGATGAGGCAGTCTGCTTCTGTAAAGACTGCAGCCTAGGAAACTCTATGGGGCAGTTCTACTCTGTCCTAAAGGGTCACTGTAAGTTGGAATCAACTCAACGGCAATGGGTTTTCTACTGCATACAAGAGGTCCTGCTGGTGAAATGGTTAAGCACTCAGCTGCTAACTGAAAGGTTGGTGGTTCAAACCTACCCAGTACTCCACAAGAGAAAGACCTGGCTATCTGCTCCCATAAAGATTTCAGCCTAGAAAACCCTATGGGGATATTCTACTATGTTACATAGCATCACTATGAGTCAAAATTGACTCAGTAGTACCCAGTAACAACTACTGCTGCTTAGAAGTTATGCAACCTAATGCTAGTGAGTCTTTTTAAGCTTTATATTTTTTCCACTGTAAAGTGGAAATACCTGCCCTACTGTTAAATTATCAAAACATGCAAATGGACATTTACTTCACAGAAACACATCAAGGTGTAGCCCAGTGAGGGTTAGCATGTAGCTTCAGAATGTTTCTCTTGATACCCAGACCAGCCTCCTTTGCAATTGGTTCTACTTACCTTGAAATGTGGGGCTATCTGGGGTTTGGAACTCTATCCATTTTATTGGACTATTCCACTGATAGTCATGGTAGTCAAAGCCAGACATGGTGAGGGGAGGAGGCCAGACCAACATGACCTTTCTGTGTGTTTTGTCCCAAGCAGGGATCCCTGGTCTTCCCGGATGGAACAAGAAGATAAACAGGGTGTGTATGAAACCCAGGACTCAGAGGACAAAAGGATGGGCTCAGATTTTGAGAACTCTGAGGACAAGGAAGGGGACCTAGAAGAAAAAGATACACAGGACACAGATGAGAGAGAGGACCATCTGGAGAAGGACATGGGCTCCAACCCACAGGATGCAGATCTACGGGGGGTCTCAGAAGAGATGGAAATGGTGCCCAATATCTGCACAGGTGAGGAGAAAGCTGGAGTTTCCATGGAAGCTGCCCCTCACATTTACTTCTGGCTCCACAAGTAGGATAACCCCAGGCTGCATTCTTTGTGGAGGAGTTCTCTATAGGATTCTCTACTGCCTTAGCCCTTCTAGTGTTAGATCTGAGGAAGACCTTTCAGTCCAGTCTGAGGTGGACTGCGCTGGTAAGCCTGGGAGAAGAGGGTAATTCACTGGTATAGTACTTTACAGTATATAGAATACTGCCCTAGAATTTATATTTGTAACAGGTGTAAAGAAGGGAACAGAAGTAACATTAGAACCTACCTCATAGGGTTGTTGGGAGGGTTGCTGCATATATAGGTTTACGTAGCACCAAACCAAATTAAACCCACAGCCACTGAGTAGATTCTGACTCATAGCAACCCTATAGGACAGAGTAGAACTGCCCCAATAAGGTTCCAAAACTTTAGATCTTTAGGGAAGCACACTGCCCCATCTTTCTCCCGTAGTTGGTAGCTTCAAACCACTGGCCTGTCAGTTAAGAGCTGAGTGCTCAACCAGTGCACCACCAGGGCTCCTTTACTTAGCACAGTGCTAGGCAACTAGAAAGCATCCAGGTATTTACAGTTAGAACCATCATCCTCATTTACAGATGTTAACTTTGTAGTAAAGTGATCTGCCCAGGTTCATGTGGCCAACATTCAAAGTGCCAAAACCCTGCAAAATCTCTTGCTATTTCTAACCTGGAAAGAGTTAAGACAGAGCCTCCATCCACCTCTTTGGTTATGCCCCTGGGCATTCTTGGGCACTGAAATGAGCTGCAGTACCTTATGGCCAGCACTGTGAGGTTAGGTTCCTACCTCTGTGACATAGTTGTAGATTCCCTGCTGCCCTTCCCCTTCCACGCACACAAAAGCACATAGTCTTTCACTTCTCAGTAGCTTCCTGGAGTGCCCTCTGCTTAGGGAGAAACCTCAAGAGACTGACAGGTGTAAGTTCTGGACTAGGCTCTAACCCGCACTGACCAGCTCCAGGCCCTGTGCTCACAACCTCTTTTTCCTAACATCACCCCCATCCCATACAAAGTAAAGCTCTTAAGTTGGGGTGAGTTCAGTTTGTTTTTCTATCTTAAGTTATTACAGACCAGTCTATTTTAAAAATCAGTCCAGGGCCTGGTTATTTTGTGAGTGACTGGAGTGGTCTTGTTTTCTGAGGCCAGAGGCATTGATAGCTCTTGATGTGAGTGAATCTCTCTTCTCTGAGATCCCATTACCACCTAGACCAGACTTTATTTTCAAGCACAGACTGTCAGTCAAGCCTTCAGATGGTTCAGCTGAGGGAACCCTGGCATGCAGTAGGTGGGGTCAGGCTCTGAGGCAGAACTGGTGGGCTATGGGGGATGGTGAGTGAGCCTTCCCCAGATTTCTAAGCATGCTGTCATTTAGGCCATTTCCAGGAGGAGAGGCTGGAATCCGGAGGAACCTCAAGGACAAGGGTTGAGATTGCCTGGGGGAAGGGATTACTCCTTGATGTACACCTTCAGTGACATTGGCTTCCTGTGGGTTTACCTTTTGAGCGCCCAGTATAGTAACCCCTACTGCCACATTTTCCGTCACAGAGGGACTGCTGTGCGAGGAAGAGGCGGCTGCTCTCCAGGAGGAAGAGGATGGCCAACCTGGTGAACCTGAGTTGGCGATGTTCCCAGGACTGTCCGAGTCCGACAGCATATCCCGGAGCCCTCAGGAAGAGGAGGAGGAGGAGGAGAGTGCTGGGGAGAACCGGCTGGAGGAGGAAGAGGAGCAACCAGCCCCACCCGTGCTTCCTTGGAGGCGGCGTCTCTCCTTGGGGAGTCGGCACCTGGGCGACAAGCCTGCCCACCGCCGCTTCCGCCGGCTTCACCACCCCGTGGCCATGGACCTTAGGGAGCTCGACAGCCTGGTGGCCAGCATCATGGACGCGCCCACCATCTGCCCCGACTGTGGGGAGAGCTTCAGCCCTGGCACCGCCTTTCTGCAGCACCAACGCATCCACCGCCTGGCTGAAGCAGCTCTAGAGCCCTTCGGCTTTGCTGGAGAGTGCGGTGCGGTGGTGGGGATGATGGGAGTGGGCGTGGCAAGTGGCTTCGGGGCGGGGCCCGCACTGGCCCGGCCCCCAAGCGAGAAGCCCTTCCGCTGCGGAGAGTGTGGCAAGGGCTTCAGTCGCAACACTTACCTCACCAATCATTTGCGCCTGCATACGGGCGAGCGGCCCAACCTCTGCGCCGACTGTGGCAAGAGCTTCAGCTGGCGAGCCGACCTGCTCAAGCATCGGCGCCTGCACACAGGCGAGAAGCCATACCCGTGTCCCGAGTGCGGCGAGGCCTTCAGCCTCAGCTCGCACCTGCTGAGCCACCGGCGTGCACACGCTGCCGCCAGCGGTGCGGGGGCGGCGGCGCTGCGACCATTCGCGTGTGGGGAGTGCGGCAAGGGCTTCATGCGCCGCTCGCATCTGGCTAACCACCAGCGCATTCACACGGGCGAGAAGCCACATGGGTGCGGCGAGTGCGGTAAGCGCTTCAGCTGGCGCTCAGACCTGGTGAAGCACCAGCGCGTGCATACGGGCGAGAAGCCTTACATGTGCTCCGAGTGTGGCGAGACCTTCAGCGTGAGCTCGCACCTCTTCACGCACAAGCGCACGCACTCGGGTGAGCGACCCTACGTATGCCGCGAATGTGGCAAGGGTTTCGGCCGCAATTCGCACCTGGTGAACCACTTGCGTGTGCACACAGGCGAGAAGCCCTTCTGCTGCGGTCAGTGCGAGAAGCGCTTTAGCGACTTCTCCACACTCACGCAGCACCAGCGCACGCACACGGGCGAGAAGCCCTACACGTGCATTGAGTGTGGCAAAAGCTTCATCCAGAGCTCGCACTTGATCCGCCACCGCCGCATTCACACTGGCAACAAGCCGCACAAGTGTGCTGGCTGCGGCAAGGGCTTTCGCTACAAAACGCACCTCGCGCAGCACCAAAAGTTGCACCTATGCTAAGGCCTGGCAGGAAGGAGGTGGTCTTCCAGGGAGAATGTAGGAGAGTAGATGTCCTGGGGACAGACCCTGTAGAAAGAAGTGGGGAAGAGCCAGGAAGGACAATCTGGCAGTGAGTGGGGAGACTTGACGTTCAAGGGTGCTGAATGGGAGGGTTGGGCAAGAGTTTTTATTTTGGGGTGCTGTATTTTGCCTGACTCCTTCCCACATAAGAAATATTTGAGAGATGTGCTTAAGATTGATGACTTTCTCAAATACACCTTTTAGGGAGAGGCCAAGAACACGGAGGAGCAGACACTTTGAGACCTTGAGGAAGGGGAGTTGAGGGTGGTGAGAATAGGAGGGTAGGGAGTAGGCTAGGGTGAGCCATGGGAATCAAGGGAGAGGTGTGGTTGGGGTGGAGATTGTGGGGTAAACCGGGTATATGTAATTCTGCCCTGGTGCCGCCAGGTATTAACCAGTGTTTGCCCTGTGCCCTACATCCGTTGTAGTGTCAATCTTATAGGAGATAATATTTTCAATACTCTTCTATTTTCTGAGCCACAGTCAGCTGCTATTTTGAGGCACCTAGATGGAAACCTACACATTCTTATTTCAAGGGAGCAACCTCTAAGTTTAGAAATTCATTTGTAATTGGTTCTCAGATCTCCTGGGAAATCCAATTCCATCCAGCTCCTGGTTCTTTGCTCCATCCTTTAAATTACTTCAGCTTGATGCTGGGTCAAGGTGGTCCACCAGGAGGGCCAGCCCCTGCCCCTCATGTCAGGAGTGTGCCAGACCCAGTCTTTCTTTCAGGTCTGTCTTGTGATCTTTTAAATGCAGGGAAATGCAACAATGCCAGCTATGTGTGACTCTCCCCTTCCCAGGTCAGTTGGATGCTGTGTTTCAAGTGAACTTCAGACCATCAATACTTGCCCCAGGTCCTGCCACAAAAGTAAACAGGCTCAGAGTTGTGCTGTCCTTGTGTCTGAAATTCAGGAAAGCAAAATGTTCACAAAGTGAGGTGTAAGTTTTCTTTGTCTCATTTGCCTTCATTTTGCATCTATGATACTCCCTCCTCTGCTTTAGTAACAAGGGGAACTACCCAACTTCCACCTCTGTCTGTATTGATGTGGGATCAGGTCTGAGTAGGAACTTCTTTTTCCTGCTTGTGGAGGCACAGTTGAAATCTTAAGGCTTTACACAGGGAGGGCACGGTCAGGGAGAGGTGTAATGCAAAATTGCCAAATAGCACAAGCAATGAATGTTTTCTGGTTGTTGTATAAATGCCAAAATAGCACTTTTATATTTGTAAAGTGCTTTATGCTTTTTAATGATTGTTCGTTGTTTCTCACATCTTTGTGAGGTCAATCAGTATTATGACCCCTGTCTTAAGATAGGCCTGGGTACAAGGGTGCTTCAAGTTGTCCTGAAGAGAGGCTAATAGCAGTGTGAATTGGTGTAGTCTGACTGTTTGTGCTCTCCAGCTCAGCTGCTAGAGACTTACCTGTCGTGATTTGTATAATGACATAAGGACACTGAAAATTCTATGCTTAATGGAAAAACTTAAGGCTAGTCTAGAAGGGCCAAAGATGTCCTTGTGACAGAGCTGGTCTTTGTCACTTAATTAGGGTGTCCGAGCTATGTTCCATTTATAGTAGGGGGCTATCGTTAGATTCCTCTTGTATAGATTTCAGTTACCTATGCTGAAAATCCCTTCCCTAGGTTAGCCTTTAGAAGTTAGGGTTGTTGAAAGCAGTATTGTTTTCTTCACTAGTGATTGTTATTCTATACCTTTCCTGGAAGTATCTTCACAAACTGTTGAACACACTTGAAGAGTAAAAAAAAAAAGCTACAAGATTATTACCACTTGCAAGTTTTTACAATTTCAGCATACTTTCTGCAGATGCTGATAATTTTTACTTGATCAGTTGTATTCCAGCAAAGAAACTCTTTGGGGACTGTAGGAAAGCATGTTTTTTAGCCATTATAAAGACAGTTTCAAGAATAAAATCCTGTCCTGAGAATTCTAGGCTTGTATAATGCCTCTTGATCTAGCCCTCTTAATCAGTTCATTGTTATTCACAAGTGCAAATAACTTTTCAAAATACAGACACTAATTCTTTTTTCTTATTGGTCAGGAGTAATACAAGCATCGTAAGTGTGCAATATTTATTCTGACCCTTGCTGTCTGAATACTGAGTGTATTAGACTCACCTTAAAATAATATAGCCAATTTGTAGGTAATAGTGTTCTTTTTCTTTTTTTCTCCCCTATGCACATCTACCTCTTCCAGCTGCTTTAAGTTCTCTCAAGTCTGTGCCGGTGAAAGCTCATCCAACTTTTGATTGTCCACTTTATGTTTTATTTGGCATTTTGCTGCCAGTCTTTATACTATTATTACACAGTCTCATCTGTGTCAGTTATGTTACTTATCGGCAGCTTTAGAGAAAGAAGAGAAGAAATGTAAAATAATTAAGTGGCAGGGGACATCTTCGAATTTCATTTAGCTCTCTGGTTTTCCTCTTACCAAGAGACTCAGCTACTACTTTCGTTTCCTTCCTATGAGCCAATCCCTTATAAGAAGATCATAGGTCAGCCACCAGTACTCCACTCTCTTGGTGCATTTCAAATGTGATTCCATTTTTCTTACAATCCTTCAGGGCACATATCTGTGTTAAGTGAGGGTTAAATACATTCAGAAGGTTGCTTCTTGAGTCTAGTTTTAGAACAATAGTATTTCTTCAGCAAACCCTGTTAGCTGTGGTTCACCTTTGAAAATACTCATCTATTTGGAAGAGTCCTTCTACCATCTCATCAGTGATTGTGAAAGCAAATGTAATATTTGTTTCCTGGGAAGTTTGGTCAAAGGCAGGCTTCCTCTACTCCCCTTTACTGAGCAAAACCTGGAGCAGTTTAAATCAGCTAAATGGTTTTATTCAATCTTGAACTCTGAGTTGGAAGGAGAAGATAAGAAGTTAACCTCTTGAGCCATGTGGTCTCTTCAAGATCAAGAGGCTGTACCTATGTGAAAAAGTACAAATTAAGAACCTGTGTTCAAAGACAATCTGAACTGTGTTTCTGAAGTTTGTGCACATTTCGCTTCACTGTAATGTTATTTTACAGCTGTTTGTTAAAATAGTGAATAATTTAATGATCCTACCAATAACAGATTTTGTGTGAGTGTGTGTTTGTGTATGTGAGAGTTGCCTTATTTTCAAGTGGTTTTATTTAATGATGGTTCTTTGGACAGCATTCTGGTGTTCAGCAACCAATATGGAATATTTGTCATTAAATCCGTATCAGTCTTTTACCATGTCGTTCTTTTTTCCTTATTTCTCATCAGTTAGATGTCACTCAGCTCAATATGTGGAAGCTGTCTTCTGATGGAACAAGGGCTAGGAAACTACTAACTCCAAACTACCTCTTTCTGTAAATAAAATTTGTTTGGAACATAGCCATATCCATACAGTCACATTTACATACATACGGCCACATGTCAGCTACTAACTGGAAGGTGGGCAGTTTGAACCTACCCCAAGATACCTCAGAAGAAAGGCCCAGCAATCTAATTCTGAAAGTTCTTCTATTGAAAACCCTGAAGAATGCAGTTTTACCCTGACACTCTTACGGTTGCTGTACGTCAGAATTGACTTGCCAGCAACTGGTTTTATGGCTGTTTTCACACTGCAGTGACAAAGTTGAGTAGTTGTTACAGAGACTGATGGCCTACAAATCTTAAAATACTTACTGGTCTGTACCTTTACAGAAAAAGTTTGTTGACCCTTGTACTAGGATGTTCAGGTGGATCCTAGATCAGCTGGAATTGTCCAAATGGTCTACATGTTCCAATTAGGAATTCGGTGCAACACTTCTGCAATAATGTGGTGGCTTAGGGATCCTGGGAAGGTGTTAATGTTATACCATTGGTGTTGATTTCCAAAGGTCTGGGTTATAACTTCTTGTAAGAATTACTCTGTGAAGAATAAACAGGGGAGATAGTTTGAAGAAGGGAGATGTTTTAGGTCTGGTCTCTTTAAAAAAAAAAAAGTCTTAACCACAAAACAATGTATTTTCTTTCTTTGAGTTCTCAGAAATGCACTTAACAGCTACTGATAATAGGAAAAGAACTTGTACCAACTAGACTGGCCTTTCGGTCAAAATATTAATTCATTTCTGCCCAATGGAAACAATGAGAGCAATTCCTAAGACACCTTTTAAAATTCTTTCAATAATCACAACTACCGCCTTACCTGACCATCCACAAGCCCTTTTCCTGCCATCCAAATGCTGGCTCCTAGTACTGGAAGCCCTTGTGTCCCAATGGTTAAATGCTTTGCTTCTAACCTAAAAATTGGTGGTTTGAGCCCACATAGTGGCTCTGCAAGGAAAAAGAACTGGTGATCTGCTTCTGTAAAGATTATAGCCAAGAAAACCCTATAGGGCAGTTCTCTGTCACATGGACTCAATGTGAGTCAGATTCAACTCAATGGCAACCAACAACAACAGTACAGAATGGAGCAGTAAGAGTACTGTGGCTACAACTTGCTTCCCCAAACCTGACTCTTCTGGCTTAAAGTATGTACCAGACTAGCTCCTGGTCCCATTCTTTTCTTCCAGGAAAACTATGTAAGTTAAAGTAAAACTGTATGAAGGAAGAACTATTAAATACATTTAAATTATAATATATACTATGGTATTAAACACACACAAAAAAAACCTAAACCTTTTGCCATCAATTTGATTCTAACTCACAGCATCTAGGTAGGAAAGTAGAACTGTGCTGTAGGATTTCCAAGACTAAATCTTTTTTTTTTTTTTTTTTTTTTAATTGTGATTTGGGTGAAGATTTACAGAGCAAATTCACTTTCCACACAGCAGTTTACACATGCTTTGTCTCATGACATTGACCACAGTTTACCACAATGCAACAGCTCCCCTCCCACTTCGTCCCCATAGTTACCTCTTCCCTGTGTCCATCACTCCATCAACTCCTGCCCCCTGACCTGTCTCCCTGTGCATAA